AGAAGTGAAGAGGAAGAGAGAAATGGAAAGAGCAGAAAGACAGAGAAGGTAGATAGGCAAAAGAAATGAAGCTGAAAGAATGGAAGGAGGAAGGAAAAGGAGGAAGGGAGTGAGTGAGGAAAGAAGAGAGGATGGAAGGAGAAAGGAAGGAAGAGAGGGAAAGAGCAGAAGACGGATAAGGTGAAGGTAGATAAGCAAGAGGAATGAAGGAAGAAGTGAGGTGTCTCGAGGAGGGGGAAAACATTTAGTGACCGAAGTTACAATGGCATTGAAAAAAGTGACCGATGACCATTTTTCACACTTAGCGACCATTGCAGCATCCTCATGGTCACGTGATCAAAATTTTGTCGTATTTATGCTGGTTTCAGTGTCCTGGGGTGACCTTTTGACAAAATATAAATTTTTTAATCAAGCCCCCCCCCCCCCATGGTGTCCCTCTTTACCAATCTGAAAATCTGGTCACCTTAATCTAGGACCATTTAAAATATTCTGTAAAGATCCACTGTAATATCAAATTTGCAGTTCATTGGAACTGACTTGAGATTCTCCTTTTCTTTCACCCCAAATAATCACATATTTTCAAGTTATCCTTTTGATCATCTAAAATTGTTAAAATCATATTTAACTGGTGGCAGAATGCATGCCTTTACAATACATCTATTTGCTCATGTAGAATAGCTTTCATCGTTGTGCCAATACATGTAAAACTACATATTTTAAGAATATTATAAATTGTTCCACAATTAATAATTACCCCAAGTCATATTATTGCTTAATATAAATACCGTAAGTTTCGGAGTGTAAAACACACTTTTTTCCCTCCTAAAAGAGGCTAAAAATTTGGGTATATCTTATACTTTGAATGTAGCCTCACCCATCCACCGGCCCCTACCCTTCAGCCTCTGCGCATCTTCTTTCTGGCTGTAGAGATTGCCAGGCTTGGCTTGTGTTTTTGGGTTCCGTGCATTGCGTTTTCAGCCTCCAAATGTTCGATGCGCATGCCCAAAATGGCTACCTGGAACTGCTGCTGCCTTTTTTGCCCCCTTCCCTGTTTTGCCTGCTTTAGTCACTGGAGCTCCCTCAGAGGATCAGCTGTGCTTTTGAAGCTGTTTTTCAGCTCAAACATGAGCTAAGTGATCTTCCATGCTTTGCCTGCTTTTCTAATTGCTGCTCCCTCCAACAATCAGCTGTGTTTTAGTAGCACAGTCCCCATCATCCGCAACCTCTAAACCAGTGAGCAAACTAATGTGCTGAAGCTGACCAGGCTAAGGACTAGCCAGATGAATACCTAGTAGGCAGAATCCCCCCTCATTTTCCTCCCCAAAAACTAAGGTGCGTCTTATACTTCAGTGTTTCTTATACTCCGAAAAATATAGTAATGATGACATCTGTATTTTTTCATATATTATCCCAGGCCATGGTACGTCACAATCGTGTTGAACTGCTTAGTCATCCTGTTTGTACAGAATATTTACTTATGAAATGGTAGGTAGCCATTTGAAAAAAAAACATTTTCTTTCACATTTTGTTCTAATTCAGGTTCTTTGAAATCTGACCTCTTAAATCAGGTTTTATTTTATTTTATTTATGTTAGTGAAATGCACAACCTACAAATGTAATAAATAAATACATTTATGATTTATGGAAAGAACACATGAGAATTATGATATCCCTTAGTAATTATAGAAATTGCAAATATAGTAAATATAAACATAATTATTAGAAATATATTTCAGTTTAGATTTTATTCTCAGAGCCTCTCCTTGTGTACATTTCTTCCCACTGAAGTAGAAAATGCTATATTATGAAAGTCATACTAAATACAATTTTACTTTATAGGATGGCCTATGGTTTCCGAGCACATATTTTGAATCTGGCTGTGTACTCCCTTGGCTTAATACCTCTTACTCTCCTGATCACCAATTTAGAGCCAGATGTATCTTTCAATGCAACACTTAAATATGGACCTTTTGATAATAAGGTATGGCTTTAATTCATTATATTGGCTTGTAGTTTAATTTACCAATGAAGCAATGAATTTGGGATTAAGTAACACATATAAATGCATTTGCTTCCATTTATTTTGTGATCTTCCAAGAATCATTGTTGTTAGAACTCTGGGAAAAAAGATCTTAATTTGATCTAGGAAAACAGTTCTTAAGTTTTTACAGTATTAGTAAATAGAACTGTAAATCAAGTAGAAAGATTAACCTTTTAAAGTGCATTCTTTTTTTTAAAGAATATTTTTATTTTTAAACAAATAAACACAAACAAACATAAAACATCTTCCAATTACATTCAGTGCGTTGGTTGGTTACAAAATTTTTGTGCATCCTCTCCATAGTCCTCACTTACAATTTATATCAAATCTCATATTATCATCTAATATATATGTATATACGTATACATTATTATCATTGTTAATCATTCATTTGACCATAACTATTATTATGCCATTTTATACGAGACATTCTAAATTCTGAGTTAATTTATATTATGGTATTTCATTACATCATCCTAAGTCCACCCAATAGTAATACATCTTAATATTATATTCTGTATCATTCCATTATCCTTGTATTGTAAAATTCTCTAACATATTTCATTTCCATGTTTTTTTGTCTAACCATTGATAAACTAATTCCCATATCTTATACAATTGTTTATCTTCTTGTTCTCTAATTTCAAATGTCAATTTACTCATTTCGGCACATTTCATTATTTTCTAAATAACTTCCTCCTGCGTTGATATTTTCTCACTTTTCCAGTTTTTTTGCAAATACAATTCTAGCCACTGATAACGCATTTACAATCAAATATTTCAATTCTCTACTATATATTTCCAGTAAAATCCCCAATAAAAATATCACTGTTTTAGAGTCTATATGTTTTTCTGTCATTTTTTCTTCTAGCCGTGGTCTTAAAACCTTCTATTTTAAGAGCTTTATCATATCTAGAATGTATTTGCACATATGAAAACCAATTTCATCATTATACCTTTTTCTTCCAGTTCTTGCATAGATTTAAGATTACCTTTTTGCATTTAATATTTCACCATATCTGACTGTTCCTTTTTGCATGTTGTTGGATATAGAAATGCTTCAATAGCTGATAACCAGACTGAAATTTTTAAATCATAATACCTTTTAATCATTGTTTCTTCCAAGTTTTCTTCCCTTTCTTCTTCTATATTTTGAAATCTGAAATAGAATTCTGATCTGTTGATCTCCCATCCCAATATTCCACTCTTATCTTTTTCAACCTTGCTCAGTCTGCTGTCAATGTCTCCAATTTTCTTATCTCTTTGCTCATCTTTTTCTTCAATTTTTTGAAGTCTGTCCTTACATTTCATCATGATGTGGTGAAGATTCTCAATTTTTTTCCTCTATTTTTTCTGTTCTTTGTTCAATGTTTTCTATTCTTTGTTCAATATTGTCTGTTCTTACTTGTATTTTTTTAATTCCTTGCATAATCATCTGCTATGTCAGTTTCTTTTTCTCTTCCTGCTGCCACATCATCTGTATTGATCTTTGTCCTCCAGATGAAGAAATTGGTATTGAAGAGCCCATGCCATTGCTTTTTTACTAATTTAAAGCTGAAAAATACAAGATCTTCAGGTTCTTTTATACCTTAATCTACTTATATGGAGGGGATGAGGAAAGTAATGGAGTAAAAAAAATGGAAAATCCAAGGTTCTTATGTTAAGTTCCAAATAAAATTAGCAATTTCTTTTTCAAGGTCACTGCAATCTTCTTTCTTTGAACTCCAACTTTTCTTTCAAAACTCAAACTCCATACACTGATAGTATCCCAGAGGAATACCTGTATAAACAATCCATTCTCATCCCACTATCATTTAATAAACAGATTCAGAGTCGTTGAAATGTAATACCAAGTCATAACTTTTCTCTAAACACTCATACAAGAAAAAGAAAACAATGTTTCCAAGGCTTTGGGTGGCAGTGTTACTTATTTTCTTCCACTTTCCCTTCCTTTCCTTATCCTCAAAAAAAAAGGGAAAAAGAGATTTTAAAAAAGAAATACAATAAAGCATTGGGGAAAAAATTAAAGGGAAAAGAGTCTTAGACAAATTGTTTGTTATACAAACAAAAATTATAAAAATTGTTATACAAGTATTTTAAAAAGAAAATGAGGAAAAAAACCCAGTCCAATTTAAAACATAGAAACTGTTTGTAATATCCAGTCAAATTCCAGCAATAAAAAGGAAGGGAAAAAAACCTCAGTTTGACTCTGGCTTAATCTCGCCACTTAACCTCTTCAGTCTTCAATTTTAAATTAACTTTTAGTCTTTTAGAGTGTTCTCTCAAATAATAATGAAGAAAAATTGTCTCACCAACCAAACTTCTCTCCTGCTTTCTCTTCCGTTCTGGAGCTGTCCCCGACTTCAGCAGCTTTAATGGCTGCCTCTCAGCCACCGGAAAAAAGGGCTTTTCCTGAATCAACCAGGGACTTTGTGATGTCCTTGGGATCAGCAGGATGTGCCCTTCTCTATTACTGTCCCTTTCACAGGGGTCGCCTAAGACCATCCACCTCCACCGGCGTCACCCATGCTCAGGAGCGCGTCCTGAAGTGGCAGGTATATGAAGAGTTCTGGGTGGCAAAGCAGCCTCCTCTCAGCTCTGGGCGCAACCCATACGCAGCACTGCCCGGTCTCCATGCCACGGAAAAGCTGAGGTGCTGAAGTGGGAGAGAGATGGCTGCTTCTGAGTGGCGGATTGGCTCTGACGGATGTCTGAACTGAGCATGGTTGGTGCTTCAGCCTAGCTGCCTGCACAGGGGCAGAGCAGGAGACCTGCGGGGCAGTCAGACCACCCACTTCAGCTGACGGGAAGGGCTCTTGCCTAGGCAGGCGTATGCCGGGATTCAAGCTGTCAGGGGTGGCCTTTGCCACCCCTGCCGCCCATCCTATCCTGCGGGCTGAACTGAACTCATAGGCTTTTTGGCTCCTGGGAAGGGCTGGCAGGAGAGGCCAGAGGGGAGGATAGGCCCCACCCACCCATTCCTTTCATCCCGAGGAATTCCACTCAGGATGGAAGCACAGTTCGATGTAGCTTAAGCCTTCATTTAAAATCCCATTTAAAGGGGAACTTCTTAATCTTTGTTAAGAAAGGAAGGAAGGAAGGAAGGAAGAAGAAAAGGGAGGGAGGAATAGAAAGAAAGAAAGAAAGAGAAAGAAAGAGAAAGAAAGAAAGAAAGAAAGAAGAAAAGGGAGAGAAGAATGGAAAGAAAGGAAGAAAAGGGAGGTAGGAATGGAAATAAAGAAGGAAAGAAAGGAAGAAAGAAAGAAAGAAAGAAAGAAAAAAGAAAGAGAAAGAAAGAAAGAAAGAAAGAAAGAAAGAAAGAAAGAAAGAAAGAAAGAAAGAAAGAAAGAAAGAAGGAAGGAAAGAAAACCGGGTGGGTGAGTGGAATGGAATGTAAAAAAAGTAAAATTAACAAAGTGAAACTCATGTAAACCACGAACTGCTGCTGGAGGCAGGCAGGGAGGTTGTCTTATCCTGGAAAATCCCAGCCTGGCTGATCTTCTCCCAAACCAAGATTGGCAGATTGATCACTATGCTTTAATTATGTTCAATTTGTAATAATGAAAATACATCCCGCATATCAGATATTTATATTACGATTCATAACAGTAGCAAAATTACAGTTACGAAGTAGCAACGAAAATAATTTTATGGTTGGGAGTCACCACAACATGATGAACTGTATTAAAGGGTCGCGGCATTGGGAAGATTGCGAACCACCATTTTAGAGGCTTTGTCAATGTTGGTCACCAAGACCATTCACACCAACCTAAGCCTCACCCCCTACCAGCATTGATGATTGTTACTAATTTGGTAATAAAACATCTGCAAGAAAACAAGCAAGTTCCATGACCACCGTAGACCTTTCATTTCAACCCTGAGCTACAAATATTCTTCTCTATTGTTCCATGTTGTTTGCCACAGATGTTCCCAGCAATTTTAGAGTGAATAATGCTTGTGTATGGATAAAACAAAAACATAACTTTGGGAGAAGTGCTGGAACTTACATTAAATGTTATGTTGTCCCTTGCAGCATATTTACTGTGCTGTGTAAGTAACTGAGCTCACATAACATATATGATAAAATTAATTAGACCTGGCTCTGTATTTACATGTGTTAAGGATTTTGGCTACTGTCTTCCATAGCTTGCATGCTATACAAATTCTATTTGGATAATAGTCAGGAAATTAATTCACTAAGCTGAAGAAAGTAAGAAAGAATCCCTGTGGAGTTAGGAATATGTCATAGGGTAATAGGTATAATTTATTTCCTGTGTACTTGGAGCGGGACGTGGGGAATCTTTCTGCCTTCAGAAATCTCTCTTCTCTACCCCTAAGGATATTGGGTGATACTGGGGAGTTTTAGTTTCAGTCTTGCAATACAGTATAATAGTTTTGGTTTAGAAATTTGAGCATTGTCAACCTACTTCTATTTTTCTAAGGAATACTTTCATGATTCTGTATTTCTGTAGTTCTGCAATATTTATTAATACGGTAAGATAATCTTCTACCATCTGGCATCAGACTTTAGTTTTCAAGTTTATATTTTATGTCTGATTACTAATAATGCAATGTTGGGCAATTTTCCCATCAGTATAATGCATTAAAAGCAAAATGAATATTGTTTTCCATTTACCCATTAATATTTCCTGTTTTTTTTTCTTATTTCAGGATTCAAACTTCATTAAAGTTTGCATGTCTTTCGTTTTTATCATGAGTTTATTTGGTATCTGCAAAGAAATAATACAGCTATTCCAACAGGTATTGGCTAATGTTATAGCTTTTATTAATATTATTATGTGAAGTATTTTATGTGCAGTTAAACATAAAATAATGTTTTATGAATGAAATCATTATTCATTATGATCTATTTTTTTCTATTGGATGTGTTCCTTGGCATTAGTTTTTGACTCCTAGTAATGTAGCACCTGCCTGGACAAGGTGCTGCAGTTTCCTAATAAGGTTTTTTGAAAGTGGTTTACCATTGCCTCCTTCTTAAAGTTGAGAGAGTGTGATTGGCCCACAGTCACCTAGCTGGCTTTGAGCAAATGACAAGATTAGAAATATAACCATTGCACCAAACTGACTGTACAGAATTGATATATTAGAATTAATAGAGCAATAATATTATGCTACCTTATTTGTTTAGAAATAATAATATGCTATCTGATTTGCTTCATTTTCAACAAATTAATACTTAACTTTTTATATTTTAGAAATTAAACTACTTGTTGGATTATTCTAATCTTCTTGACTGGACAATTTATACTACAAGTATCATTTTTGTGTCATCTTTATTTGTGACGTTACCAATCCGTTTACAGTGGGATTGTGGTGCAATTGCTATACTCTTGGCTTGGACAAACTTCTTGCTCTATTTGCAAAGGTAATTTAGAATTTGAAAGAATGTAGTTACAAATTATTAAATTATTCTGTATTAGGTTTTGAGCCACTGTAGAATGATTTAAATCCACAGGTTTATATAAGTATAGAAAGTTTTTAGAGAATGGTAATTTATATTTGAAGAATATACAAATATCATAGCTTTAGAATATTCTGAGCCTGATACAATATCTGAAAATTGGAACCTATGTGCTAAATAAGTAAAGTTGCTAAAGTAAAGTTGCTGAATTCAAATCAGATTGGTTTCAAATTGTGTGGGATCAAATCAAATAACTATGTTCATTATTGAATCTAATTTTTCCTAAGCTATGGCATCCCCTTTTCAAACAACAAAACAAAACAAACAAACAGACAAATAAATACTATATTTTTATTAGAGAAAAGTTTTGAAGAATAATCCCAATATAGCGGGAAAAGTCTATGAAGATTCTAATTTATCCAGGTCATAGTTGTCCCAAAGCTGTGTTTTCAGCTGGCAACTTGACTTTCTTGGCTTTTTAAAGACGTTCTGCTTCTCATCCAAGAAGCTTCTTCAGAGAACTGAAGACGCTTCTTGGATCAGCAGTGAAAAGTCTTCAAAGAAAAACAAGGAAGTCCAGCTGCCTCTTGAGAAAGTACCTTTGGGATAGTGGGAAAAGAGAAAGTTAATCTCAATCATTTGACTCATTCTATTAAAATGATTCTCTAAGGACAGGAAGGTATTTTCACTGATACCAATTTTCTTGGATGTAGCTCATCAGACGAAGACAAGGAAAACTTCTAGATATTCACCTCAAGGACTTAATATAGCCCAGTTATTTTTCATGCAATGACACCCCAATGCCTACTAGACATATGTAAACAGAACAAGGTTATTAAAGCATATTGTACTTGTATTTGTGTTCTCCAGAAACTACCATTTTTCTCAACTAATAATGAATAATAGTGAGTATAATTAGAGGCCATTGTTAGCCATTATCTTTTCCATTACTATATGACAGAAGCAGTTTTATGAAAAATACTTTAATTATTCTGAACCTTTTAACATTCAACTAAAGTACTTTAGTTTCTCATATTACAAAAGGAGAAAACTCTTCTTCAATATTTCTTCAGTTTAAAAATGTGAGATTTACAGCATACATAAATAGTTACTGTAGCCAATACATATTTTACTACAAGGCAACCACACTGTTGTTTCCACCCATGAGGACCAGATTCTATTCCCATAAAAGACAAAAGAGAATGGAGACTGAATCAGAATTAATCAAAAAGGATAGTTACTAAAATGAGAATCTTATCCAGAAATATTTCTTGGTTGGGGAATTATAAAGACAAATAAAATAGTAGTAATTTTTATAGGGGACTTCTCAAATGCGTCATGTAATTAACAGATTATGAAAATTGAATTTTAAATTCAATATTGTATTTTCTCTTCCTAGATTTGAAAATTATGGAATATATATTGTGATGTTTTGGGAAATTTTGAGGACTCTGATACGGATCGTTATTGTTTTCTTTTTTTTGATGTTAGCTTTTGGGCTCAGCTTCTATGTTCTTCTTGGTTCACAGGTTTGAAATATCATATTAAATACTTTGGAAAATTATTTTAATGCAAAAAATAATTTTATTAAAATAACTGAGCTGTTCAATGGGATTGTTATTACTTAAGCCAAGTTAAATATGACAGCAGCATCTTGGGGCTGATATTCTCTAGGTCTTGATGGATACACTAAAATGTGAAGTGGTAGACAGAAGTAACGAATTTGATTGATTATAAACCATCAAGTGACTGTGAACAAAGTTTCATTAACTGAATATGATAGTATTGTTTCATGAATTTGAGGCATGAATTTAGACAACATGAAGGTGTTTTTAATAACTGTAATGCATAAACATGCTAGTGTCTATCACCTGATTTTAAAAATTATGTTAACTAAAATTAATCAGAAATAAATCACCAGTCTTTATTATCACATTTATTTTCTTAATAAATTCGGTGTTTCTGGGCATCAAATAGCTGAAGATTAAGTTATAGGTGACTACAGCATTGTTTTGTTGCTAATGAGATCCCTCAACATGCCTAGATAACCTGAGCCACAAAGAGGAGAAGTTAAATGACTGTTTTTGAGGCTATCCAACTCTGCAAAATCCAAATGTACCTACTGTTTAAAAATCAATATATACTTGTTGCCTACCAATGATAAATGCTTGCAAATTAAAAAAATATATCCCTGAATTTTCTTTGGATTGCTTAATATGAGCACTGAAGGCATTTAAAAATCTATCATAATCTCTATTAGATCTGTTAAATAGAAAATTAAAGATATATTTAAAAGAACACGAATAATAACATTTGAGATAATAAAACACCTATGAAAAACCAGAAAATTATGTGTGAGTCTGAAAACAGAACACTATAAATTACTATGTTTCTTCTTTTGCCTTTTAGCAAACATATGGCACACCATATCTTTCAGTAATGCAAACATTTTCCATGATGATCGGAGATAACAACTACCGTGAGGCTTTCCTTGAACCAATGCTGGCTGATAAACTTCCTTTTCCATTCCTGAGTTTTATCATTCTCCTTATCTTTTCTATGCTTATCCCTATTCTTCTTATGAACTTACTGGTAAGAATTAACTATTTTAAGTTCAGGTGTTGAATGTATGCATGTTCCAAGCATAACTTAGAACATGCATACATTTATTTTATTTATGTTTTGCCTATGGAAAATATACTTCCAGAGATATGAAGGGAGCAGTTGCTGCAATTTATTAGGAGTAATAACAGGCATCAACAACATTTCCTTTTTGGCTTGTTGAGGGTAGAAATAATATTCTCTATTTTAGTATCTATTTTTAATATTATCTATTTTTCCTAATATGGGAAGAATTCTCCTTTTAGCCCATTGAAGTCTATTCTGACTAACAAACATCAGCCACTGTCTGCATTTCTTAAGGGATTAATTAAAGGAATTTTAAAGAGATTGTACATAGGGATTTCTGCAGGCAAATCACACAACTAGCTGTACCTGTACTTCCCTAATGTATTATTTACGATGCTTATAGTCACCGAAGACATTACAACAAAACTGCATGAACGCCATCCAGAAATGGCTCAAAGTGATATTACAAGAACGTTTATTATCCTTCCTGAAATACCTGAACAATAAACTCTCATTATCTCTTACACACTCAATGTAGGGGCACCAGAAAAAGCTGCTTTCTGATCATTTATTTCCATATAGGATTATTGTAGCATGTTGTTTCTTGGGACTGTCTTTGAAAATCTGGGTGGTTCAAAATATTGCATCTAGCTTGATTATAGTTGGAATTGATGACTATTTGCATTTTATTTCAAATTTGTTCAATTTAGTCTATTGGGGGTAGAGTGAATTGGGAAGGTGAAAAGCTTTTAATGACTACAGATGAAGAAATCCAAGGCTCTACTTACCTACAGTACCTAGACTATCAATTCACTATGTGGTCCATTTCTGGCTGCTCAGCTTTGAAGTTCAAAGAGAAATAATAAGAGAAAATAAGAGAAATAATAAGTCAGTATCTAAACCACCACCTTTTTTTCTCACAATGGATAAGTGGACATCCATAATTTTGATTATTTCCAGTGGTACTTCTGATATTTTTTTAGGATACAAAGGAATTCATTATTTTAATTATCTTTGAATTACTGCATTAAAATTTTAAAGTGGTATTGTATGCCATCCTTTTTTTTTGTATTGTACAAAACTCCACCTGGATCTGTATGAAAACAAATATTTTGATTTATTGAATATATATTAGATGTCTATAGAGATTCTCAGTCATCCAGGTCTTGGTTGTCCCAAAAGTGCCTTTTCAAGAGGCAACTGGACTTTCTTTATTTTTCTTTGAAGACATTTAGCCTCTCATCTAAGAAGCTACTTCAGCTCTGAATTTTTCAACTTTGAAGAAGTTCTTGGATAAGAAGTTAAACGTTTTCTTGGATAAGAAATGAAACCAGAAAGTCCAGTTGCTTCTTGAAAAAGCATCTTTGGGAGAATATATGTTAGGTTCCTGTTATTATGGTAGGACTTTTTAGTTTTAATTGTGTAAAACGGTGATTTAACTGAACAGGATTGAAATGTTTGAAAAGCCTGATTCTGATTTCTGTGTTGTAGATTGGTTTGGCTGTTGGTGACATTGCAGAGGTGCAAAGGTTTGCTGCAATGAAAAGAATAGCAATGCAGGTTTGTGAAGTGCATGATTTTATATTGATTTGCTCCTTTGCTGCTGGGAAAGTAAATTGAAAAATAATTGGGAAATTGCCTGAATTATTCTTCTGACAAGTTATGTGAAAGTCTAGAAACCTAAAGATAAGGAAAATATGGAAACTTTCATGTCTTAAAATCCAGGAATGAATATGTATATCCATACCCTTCATACTATGTCCGTTGTTAATGCAAAGCATAGATGTGACATAAAAATAGTGTTCCAAATAAATTAAAGGTGCATGATCCGAAAATAAGAACTTCCACACGCTTCCCTACTTTTTAAACCTTGGAAAATCATTCTTACTCTCATCGTGTCCACCTATTTCTTCAGACATTAGCTTCTGTTGCTTAAAATTTTCAATGTCTCCCTTCCTGAGGGCCTCATTTGGTTTTTGCTTTACCACATTCTGAAGAATCCCACTCCTACCGAATTCAATTTTTATATTTCCCCTTACAGATTTAGCTCATGTTTCCATGTATCAAAGTGGTGAAAGCATGCTTACATTTTACTTCTTTTGACAAATTTATTATTTGCAACAGATCACATAGTACTAGTACTACTACTTTTCTGCCAACATCTGCTCATTTTAAAACTTGTCCATCCATTTTCCTTCTAGCAAACATTCTACTGAGTTACACGGATTCTTCTGTTTGCTTTAGTCTTTCACCACTTAGCTATATCATGAAATTTTTTTATTCCATTTTTCCTGTCAAACATTAACTTGGTATTTGATTCATTAATTTCCTTATGATTTTTTCTAGTTGTTTCAGTCTAGCTAATATTCATTGCAAATGATGTTCTCATCCAATAGGTACAATTGGCATATATTCACATCCATAAGTATCATGCCATTGCTGCAAGCCTTCCTTATACTTTTATCATAAATGTATTAAACAAATAAGAAGCATCACAAATCTTTTATTTGCTTCCTGTTCAGTGTTGAACCATTCAATAAGCTGTCAATTTACTCCCACACATACTTTACAGCTATCATATACTTCATTCTTATGCCATTGAATAACCATCAACCTCATATATGTGATAAAATATGACATTATAACCTATAATTTTTTTCATATTGTACAGAAGTGTACAATAAACTTACTCATTGTTATATTTTTTCAATGACTAGTACAAATTCAGTATAAAAGTCCTGCCTTGTACAAACTGATTTATATTTCCTGAATTTTGTTCAGTGCCACCATCATAACCTTTCAACAGAATTCTTCTTAACACCTTCCCAAGCATAACTAATCCTAAAGTTTTTGATTACATTCTTGCTATTTTGTACAGGAAAACAATAATAGCATTCTTCCAATTTATACCCAGATTAAACCTGTCATGCATCTATTCCACAACAAACTATATGCGTATTTCAATACTCTTTCAGACATACTATTTACACCTACAGCTTTGCCATTTCTGAATTATATCACATCATTTATAGCTTCTTTTTCTATAAATTTATTCCAGTCTATGCATTTGCATTTCTCAATGAATATGCCATTTGCATGGCATATGCATTTCAAATTCTTTTCAGTCTTTAACACATCACTGTTATTTCTAAAATCCTTTTTCTAGTATTTTCTTCCTTCATTTTTTTCTTTTCTTTTTTCTTTTTTCAACAGCTCTATTCATGGTCTTTACCATTTGCTTCTCTTACATTCCAATTCACAGTCTCTTATGCTGCAGTTTTTGCCAGATTGCCCATAGATATTTCATATATAATAACATCTACCACTCCTGTTGATTAATTGAAGTTTTCATATAAAGCATGTTATTAAGATTAGTTGTTCCTGTGCTATATGCAATATCCCCAGCTAATGATTAGAACCAAATCAGTCATTTGAGTATACTTTGATTAGGATTCTACAAGGACAAATAAAGTCCATTTTTTTCCTGAGCACATCCATGTTATTCTATACAATCAAAAGATTATGTTGCCATCCAACACACTTTTGCTGACATACTACCAGCCTATATGTGCCTTTTACTTACATGCTCTAACATTGCCTGTTATGATGTCCAGCTAATCTTTGAAATACTTAATCTAAATATGGATTAATCTTGGATTTCCCAGGATTGGAAAATTTTGTCAGCATTTCTAATTACTTTAAAGCTTTACACTATATGAAGTATTATCCTTAATACATAAGCTTTTAATATGGTGTTATGAGAAATGACATGACCAGAGATTAATTTATCAATTTTTCTATTCATTTTTTGTGAGGGGAGGTGGAAAACCTTAACTTAGTTTTTTATCCAAAAATCAACCTTACTTAAGCTTAAATTTATAACAATTTTTCTATATTGCATGTGGAATTAATCTAGGAAGTGAATAGACAGCCCAGTTCTGATGGAACAGTTCTTTAGTTTTATGTTTTTACCAAGTTTATTTATTTCTTTTAGGTTGATCTTCATACAAACCTAGAAAAAAAACTACCATATTGGTTTCTCAGTAGAGTTGATCAAGAATCCATTGTTGTGTATCCCAATAGACCTAGATATTGTGGGTTTATGGTAAGTTAAAAACAAGAATGACTGAGCTTTTGATTTCTATCCATCTTCCAAGCTCCAGAAACAGGAAGCAAAGAAAAGAGGGGCCCAGACTAATGCAATTCTTTTTCAATCTTTCAATGTTGTAATGTCTGCCAAGGACTAAACTGACAATAAAACTCAAAGCAAAGAGAACTTGGCCTTTCATAATCTACTTTCTATTACTTCTGATTGTTGCTTTGGCAGTGAATGCAAGGAAGAAAGATGCTGGTACTTTCTCTTTGCTTCTTGCATTTCTTTAGTCTCCTGCCAGAGCTAAGAAGAAGAAAGATCTTACAAACAGGCAAGCCAAAAGGAGAGGTGTTTGAAGTTCACCAAGAGAACCAGAGAACAATAACTCCATTGCAAACCAGATTCATAATTGGTTTTGGAATAACAGAATTGGAAGGGACCTTAGAGGTCTTCTAGTCCAACCTCCTGCTCAGGCAGGAAAGCCTATATAATTATAAGCCAATGGTTGTCCAATGTCTTGTTAAAAACACCTCCAGTGTTGAGTACCACAACTTCTGTAAGCAAGTTGTTCCATTGATTAATTGTTGTAACTGTCAGGAAATTTCTCCTTACTTTAGGTTGATTCTTTCCTTAATTAGTTTCCATTCACTGCTTCTTGTACTGTCTTCAGGTATTTTGGAGAATAGAGAATAAATACAATATTCTACTTAAGACACTTTACAAGCTTCAAAGAAGTTTTGATTTCTGGGTGGTACAGTCTTACGTTTGTTAGAATAATTTAATATTTCTATTAATTCTTTTTCTTTTCAGAGTGTGTTCCACTATTGCTTTGGATGGGATAATACAGCAGCTGATACACAGAGTGCTGACACAACATTAGAACTTGAAGTATTGAAACAGAAGTACAGGTATTTGTTAGTTCTATGCTAAGGAAATAAAGTAATGAAACTTCTAGTAGTAGGAAATTATGACTTTGCAGGCTAAGGATTTTATTTGCAGGACAGTATTTTATTTTCAATAGTATTATTAAAACACAATACAAATGACTGTGTATTTTTACTGTAGGCAGAAGGAAGCATTTACTGAAATATTTTTCAATAATTTTCATAGTATATTTCTGATAATCTTGGAGGTAGTAAAGAGTCTGACGTGCATCTTGGACTATGTTTCTCACTACAATCAAATCAGTCTTACAACATACAAAACTTCTAATGTTTTAAATTTTCAAAATAATATTTATCTATTATGAAATATATATAAATTGAAGAGCCTTTGTTATTCATATATTGAGAAGACAGTGATCAAGTGACAAACTGGATTATTACAAACAGCATGAATTCACATTAGTCTTGAAACAAAAAAGAACTTGACCTAATGTAAAGAAAGTGTTATTATTCCCATAGCATATATAGGGTTAATTTTTAGTAAATACCAACTTCAGTACAGTACCCAAGAAAAAAGGGAGCTATTAGGTGTTCTCCATTATTGTTAGTCTGCATTGGTTGAAGAACATGTATCTTTATCATACTACGAAAATATTACAAAATATGAAGATATTATAGAAAAAAAGGAAGAAAAACTCCCTTCTCCAGGGGAATAAGTCATAAAATTCTCAGGTTTATAAACCTTGAATTACAAAAATTTGTTTCAAATAAAATACTTTTAACAATATATGTACAATTTTCATCTGTTGTTATTTTGAATTGGTGTAAATATTTCTTAAATCAAAAGTAATTTTTTTCTGCAAAAGGAAATCTTATTGTCAAAATAATTTAAAGGGCATCATCTTCAGAACAGATTCATTAAGTATCTTAATCATCTTTTCATATTTAACACATTTTAATATGTATTTAATATATCACCTATAATATAATATCATGTATTAAAATGTATATCTTCTTTTAGTTTTTCTGAGTGATAGTGGAGTTAAGACAAAAAACATTAAATATATTTTAATTTCTTTTCATTTTAAATTTAAATAGTAGCAAACAAGTTTTAGAGGGATTCAGAGAGTGTGACCAAAATATAAGTTTGTGCATGCAGCTCTGAGGTCCTTATTGGTGTAGCTTGTATAACTTACCAACTTGCCCTCTAACCAATGTATGTTTTTGGTCTCCAGGCTTAAGGACATTGGAACTCTGGTGGAAAAACAGCACAATCTCCTTAAACTAGTTGCACATAAGATGGAAATAATGTCTGAGGTAGAGGATGAAGATCCAAATGATTTATTCCAGAACAAATTTAGGAAAGAGCAGTTGGAACATAAGAACAGTAAATGGGATACAGTGCTCAAAGCAGTGAAATCGAAATGTGCCTAATTTGGTTACAACTATCTTCATTTTTTAAAATATAAAATAGCTTCCTAGTAAGAAATAGAAGTTAACATTAAGTTGGGACGGGAGTTATCATTGTGGGACAGTAGTACATCAATGTGGTTTACGATTGATTAGCAAGTCCCCTCAATTCCAGCAAGCTGGTTAATAAGCAAATACTGGGCTAAACAATGCTGGATATTCCCTTCCTCTTGGCTCCCTATAGATGATTGCTCACTGTTATGTTGCAATAGTGGCTAACCAGGACTGGCTGAATTATTTCAGCATAACTACTCTAGGTTTCTGTATTCTGTATTTAGAGGCTTTTCTACCACGGCATGGTATATAATGTTAATTTAGTTATTATCATACAGTAAAATGTTTTCAACAGGGGAATATATAAAAGACTTAGTTTAAATATTAATACATAGCGTAATTAATGCAGTAGCAGCTTTGTTGATTAATTCAGGGCAACTAAGCCAAATGTATCTCTTCAGAATGTCAGAGATTAATATTATAGTTGGATTCTCAGAGTCAATACAATCTCATTTACATCAAACTGGTTTTCCTGAAAGTATGGTAATACGGAATATTGAAGACTGACCTCTATGCTTATTGTAGGGAATAATTATATAAGGGGCACTGTGCTAGAAAGCAAGAGACTGTGAGTTCAAGTCTTAAAATCTAATTAGGCGACCTTGGGCTAGTCATTCTCTTGCAGTCCAATTCACCTCACAGGGTTGTTCTTGTGGGGAAAATAAGAGAAGGAAAGTGTGTTGGATGTGTTCACCATCTTGAGTTATTTGTAAAAATAACAAAGGTGGGTTATAAATAAATTTGATAGCTTACATTTTAAACATTTTTGACAGATTAAACATTTAATTCATCAACTAATTTGTTCAGATATTTAACAAATACTTCTGTGCTTAGGATTGGGCAATTGCTTTGTCACCTCTGAAATTCTTTGAGTTTCTTTCAACTTGCATTTTCCCACAATATTCTTCAATGGCGGTTGAACTGCCTCCGAAAATTGGAGTCTAAACACATCTAGAAAATGTCAGGTGTTAGGTGTTTCTATTCCAGTTCTGAATGTATCAATTTACTGAGAAACACAATGTCCTATGGGGGTGGGGTGCATGCCCATATGCATGCATGGACACTCGTATGAGTCAGTGTTGACTCCTGGTAACTGCCTGGACTAGTTCCTGCCATTTTTGGCATGGTTTTGCATATGGTTTACCACTGCTTTCTCCTTAGGCACATGAGTGGTTCAGATAACTTATCTGGCTTTGTTTCTAAGGTGGGACTAGAACTCACGGTGTATCAGTTTCTAGCCTGATGCCTTAACCACCAAATGAAACTTAGCTTTCTCAATACTTCTGCTCCATTTTCAAACAAAACGAATTCATAAGGCTGTGCAAAGTATTTGAAAGAAGTGATTCACAAAGAAGGTTGGTATGAGAGAAGAACCATTCCTTGTAGTAGTAAAGGAACTGTGTCTTTTGAAAAGTTTAATGTAGTTTCTTTTCCTAGTTATCTGTGTATCTGATTTGTTTTGCTGATGTTCCTAGAGAGAGCATTAACTATACATTGGAAGGATTGAACTAGTATGAAGGTTCAACTCTTGCAGAGTCCTTGGTGCTCTTTAAGCATTACAAGTTGTGTAAAGAAATGTTTGAAATCAAGCAACTAAGCTCAGAAAGCACCACAGTTCAATCCCGAACTACAGATATTTTCTTCTATTGATTCAACTCTTCCAAAAATGTACTTGCTTTAATACTTTGAAAGAGAGTGCTTTGCTCATGCGCATACATTTTAAAAGCACCTTTTTTAGCAATATAAATAGCAATAGCATTTACACTTATATACTGCCCTATAGAGCACTCTCTGAGTGATTTACAAATGTCAACATATTGCCCCCAACAATCTGAGTCCTCGTATTACCAACCTCAGAAGGATGGAAGACTGAGTCAACCTTGAGCCAGTCAGGATCGAACTCCTGGTGTCTGGGCAAGTTAGCCTGCAATACTGTATTCTAACCACTGTGCCACCACAGTCCAATGCTTTGCATGCTAAATCATTGCTTTTATGTCATATGGGAAATTAATCGAGTAAATGATATCAAAACATACATCTCTTTATCCACTGATACATTCATTATGCCTTATAGAAACAGAAATAAACTATAGTCAATATTAGCTAAAATTACAAAAATCTGCAGATCTACTCAGATGTAAATTCCATAAAGTTCAGTGGACTTGTTAAGATAAATATCTAAAATAAATATCATCTAAATATTCAATGAGACTGTTATCTAGTAATAAAATATTAGAATAAAAATATTAAACAATTGTATTGAATAAGTTCTAGCTAATGCTGGCTTTGTTGACAAAACATATATTGTTCAACAGATAAAATAATGCTACAGTTTGTGTAGATGTGAAGCACAATAAAGAGATTGTAACTATCTTCCTGTTTCAGTAAAACTCCTAATAAACTTGCTTATTTCTATACCATTCAGTTGTCTTTTTTTTTAAACAAGAGAAATAATGCATTTTATGCATTTCATTGTGTCTTCTTCTAGTAATGACTGTGATTTTTAAAATCTAAAGATTATTTTAGCCATCCAGTGAATTTCTGATTTCTTTAAAGATGTAAAGAAATTACTATTCCACTTTAGGAGTCCACAGAAGATTTATTCATTTGAAAATATCCAATCTTCCTGCTTCTGCAGAACTTTGTACACAAGGAAGAATTCTAGTCTACTTTCTGAGTTTGAATCTACTCAATGTTCCCCAATTTCCACACTTATCTGGCACTTTCTACATGTGTTGAGACTAGAGTTTTTAGAATTTATCACTGTAGAAGTCACCCTTCCATTTACAAAGAATGTTGTTTTATTTGCAGATGCTTTTGGTTTTCAGGGTGAGACGCCTTCCCCAGTAGATCGCACAGGATGGGCCTTCTCCAGGTGCCATCAGCTGGACAATGCCGACTGGCGACGCCTCGGAGTAGGGCCTTCTCTGTTGCCGCTCCAGCCCTATGGAATGAGCTACCCCCAGAGATCCGGACCCTACCCACTCTCATGGCCTTCCAAAAAGCTATTAAAATCTGGCTATTCCGGTAGGCCTGGGGCTGTTGATCTCTTGATTGAGGTCCAGCCCTGCTTAGATTGGGTGCATGTTGTGTCTTTTTTTAATTTGTCGTGTTTTATCTGTTTTTAATCTTTTTTAATTTCTGTTTCTGTAAGATGCCCGGAGTCCTCCGGGATTGGGCGGCCTATAAATTTAATAAACAGTTAAACAGTTAAACAGTATGGGGTTCTCCAGAATGTACTGGGACCAAAAATCCCAGAGCACTTATACAATTGATTGATGTGATCAGGCTTATGTGCAAGCAGATACAAAGAAATGGCCACTTTTTGTGATGCATATTCCATTATTTTCAATATTATTGCGTTGCATAGAGCAGAATTGCTAGGGTTTAACAGCAAACCATCACACGTAGATATGGAATATACCACATTTACCATATATCTATTGCCTCTGATGAAAATATTTTGTGGGGATGGAAATATTTCCTTTTTTTTCTTTCAGTCTAATAATTTTGTGTCAATTCCTCTTAAATGACTTGTGTCAGCTTTTTTTCAATGTATTTTTGAGGCTATATCTATAGCAAAAAAATATTGGCAGTGTCAGTAGTCTATCATAACACTAGATGGCAATGAATGCTAGTATTTTTTATGAACCATTTTACTGGCTGTTAAAGAATTTGAAGAAACAGTTGATTGATTTTAGTTTTACAGCATATATTATAAAGCAAATATGTTAAGAGTATATAAGACTAGGTTAGGAGCAGATTATCCTGGAATATATGTAGTCACTAAGCTGGCAATGGTTGCTGGGACATAGTTACTCAATTTAAGAAAAATATTACGAATCTCTTATTTGGTGGTTGTTTTGTTTAATACTCTTCCTTTTCTTGTCTTTTTTTGGGGGTAAAACTTTTTAAGTGACATTTTAATGCTTTTGTGTTGTGCTCAGTTAATATCTTTCTACATCTGAAGGCTGGGAAAATGAATCTGTAGCCTTCCCTATTTCTACATGCATAGCTAAAGTTAATTTCTGAGCCAGAGCTTGGATTTGCCAAGTAGAAACAACTATTAATTGAGTAGTGTTAGTAATTTGCCAAAGTTTCCAGTAGTTTTATTTTATTTACTATGAGCTAGATATACAGAAAATTCACAGACAGTAAAAACACAATTGTTTTCTACAGATAAGGCTGGACATCGTAATAACCATTGTGCACTGGCTAACTTCTTAATGTTAGTATGATTAAAGGAATAAGTCAGCATCATTATTTTGACTAATTGGAAAATACTTATTAAAGTAGACTTATATTCTAAGGTATTAAACCTAAATCTAGACTTAGAGATATTGTGTAACTGGGTATTAATCTCCTTATTTGTTTGTTTGTGTTATATCTTGCTTGTTGTTCAGGAGCTCCATTCATAATTCATAGATGTCCTTCTGCTTTCTATTTTTTCCCAACAATAACTCTACATTAGGTTAGGGTAAAAGAGTATGTTATTGGTCCAAGGCCTGCCATTAGTGTGAGCATGTTTAGATAAAACTTGTGCTTGCGATATGTGGATCAGAATGTACCAAACTGAGGAACACAGAGCTTAATATTAATAGGGAATGAACATTGCATAGATATCACCAAAGAATAAATGTCAATAGTGGGTGGAAAGTATAGTCTGCCTATAGTACATGGTTTAAGCAAACAGTTATTTACATGTCAAATGAATGAATATCAATATAAAACATTATTGTTTATAAAGAAAAATTGAGAAAATTAGTGAAGAAATATAACAAAAAAAAATGAAATGTGGAATACACCATTATTTGGAAAGTGTGTCTGTGTGTAGAATTAAAATTTTAAAACACATGTTAAAATATAGCTAATATTGAGTAATGCATGACATAAATAATGATTTATATAATATTACTATTGCATAAGACTATACTTTTAAAAAAGGACTGTTATATTAAAAGGGCTATATAATGAAGAAAGGAAAGAAAATATGTATTAAACCCAGGAAAAAAAGAAAAAGACATTTAAACCTCCCATAAAAGAAAGTAAAATAAAAAAAACCATAGATAAAAGGTAAAGATAAAGATTCCCTTCGCACATATGTGCTAGTCATTTCCGACTCGGGGACATGTCTGTTTCAAAGCCGAAGAACCAGCGCTCTCCAAAGACATCTCTATGGTCATGAATTGGTATGACTAAATGCTGAAGGCACATGAAACACTTACTTTCCCACCAAACGTGGTTCCTATTTTTCTATTTACATTTTTACATGATTTCAAACTGCTAGGATGGCAGAAGCTGGGACAAGTAATAAGAGTTCACTCTGTTACATGGTGCTAGGGATTTGAACCACCAAATTGCCAACCTTTCTGATTGAAAACTCAGTGTCTTTGTCACTGAGCCACTGCATCCCTAAAAAAAAACATACTGCTGAATAAAACAAAAATATCACTTCATCTAACACTGCTGAAATTATATCACTTTTTTCTTTGTTGTTATGATGATTTTTTTCTCTGAACAACATGTTAAATGTAGACCATATAGCAGGGGTGTCAAACTGGCAGCCCTCGGGGCAGATGTATCACACACAGGCAATGCCCACCCTGGCTTGC